TTATTTATGCTGCAAGTGTATAAGGTATTTTATAAAATCACTTGTTAAGTCAAAGTGTTTGATTTTGTAATGCTGCAAGTGTTGTTATGATACCACTCCTTAAGTCAAAATGTTTAATCTTTCTACCAGTGGAAAACTTTACTTCTCTCTTACTAACTTGATTTTTCTTTTTGATTGTAGCCGTGTCTTCATTATACCATAAAGAACTATTTGAAGTACTTTTCTTGCAACGACCCTGGTGTAAATAGCTCATTGATGGTGCATTTGAAAATAGTTGGACATTTACTTATACTTTTTACGCTGGATGACTAATATTATGATCTAAATCATGCGACTCAAGTATATGAAGTTGGTCATGTAAGAGAATAATCATTTAGTAGTTAGCGAGAACCATTTAGTAGTAGTCGGTATGTTTGAGAGAGGTTGAGTACTGACTCTATCTAAATAATTGAGGATCGCGGTGGAGTCGCTATAGGAGGGACATGAATGCAAAACGTTCCGTAAGTGGAACAAAACATTTTGCAATCATGCCTCTCCCATTGCGACCCCACCGTGGTCCCCAATTATTTAGATAGAGCCAGTACTCAATCCCTCTCAAACATCCCGACCCAACGACTACTACTAAATGATTATTCTCGCTAACTAATAAATGGTTATTCTCGTTATCTATTACATGACCACCCTCATATACTTGAGTCGCATGGTTTAGATCATGATATGTGTAATTCAGTGTAAAAAGTATGAGGAAAGGTCCAGCTATCTTCAAATGCACCATCAATGAGCTATTTACCCCAGTGTCGTCGCAAGGGAAGTACTTTAAATAGTTCTCTATGGTATAATGAGGACACGCCTACAACCAAAAAGAAAAATCAAGACCAAAAAGAAAGAAAAATCAAGTTAACAAGAGAGAAGTAAAGTTTTCTACTGCTAGAAAAAGATTAAACATTTTGACTTAACGAGTAGTTTCATATCAACACTTGCAGCATTACAAAATCAAACACTTTGACTTAACAAGTGGTTTCATAAAATACCTTATATACTTGCAACATTACAAACATAAAAAAAATCTAAAGTGGAAGAAAAATTAAGTAAATGACAACAAGAAATTAGAATAAGACATTGTTATACTGGTGAAATGATTGTGGTGGACCTATGAAGGGACAGATCTCCTCGGTGGTCTCTCCCATGTAATTGAACCATCTTAACTGAAGGGACAGATCTCCTCGGTGGTCTCTCCCATGTAATTGAACCATCTTAAGATGTCTTCTACTGTACAGGAAAAAGGCAACAAAAATACCTAGGAGATCTCATGAAGAATGGATTGTCAGACCCTAAAGCAACATTGTATGTCATTTACATTATAATCCTCTCACCGTCTGCTGATTGGCTTGGCTATCGCAGATTCACTTTTGCCTTATTTTAATTATTTTGTTTTCCTCTGATTATAACGTTATCATTCTTCTTTGTTCACTGGTCATCCTTGGTCTTGTCTGGCAGAAGTTGCTTTAGTGCATTATCACAAGGAACAGGTTGCTCTATCTACTCGTGTGCTCCAGGTATTTATTTACTTTCTCCTGTGGTCTAGGGCATTGAGTTTCACCTTCTGAAAATGGTGAAAGAAGACGGTAAATTCATTCCACCGATTTCAAGCTTAGAGCCAGGAGCATATCATCACATCTTCTTGAAGGCTGTGCCTGAAAATGTTGAATGTGCTGCCGACTTGTCCCCACAATTGTTTTTCGCTGAGATTTTTCTCTCTGGTGTGGAACTTCATCCCACTCATTGTTTTATCATTAAAACTAATGATGATCGTGGTTATGCTCCTAATATCCTTATCTGCTTTTTAATTCATAATAATACAATATCATCGTGTTATGAATATATGACACATACATATTGTCTTACCTATCGGGTGTTCTTGGTTAACGTGCTGTAATTTGTCAATGACTTCTGTAGTCTGTAGATATTATGGGCAAATTCTTATTGTGGGGGATATACTTTATATAATGATTGTTATCTTGTAGCAAGATCATTTTTTACCTTGAGATAAATTGAATTTGTTGAGTTATCATAAACATTGATTATTTATGCATGTGAAAATCGTGTTATTTGTACTTCCATTGCTGATACCAGACTTACCAGAGTTAGGGTAGTAAGTAATGTTACAATTTAAATGGCTTAAGGTGTATATGTTGTGGCTTGATACAGGCTTTCTTTCACCTTGGAATAAGAAAAACGTTGTAGTTGAAGTTGTCTGTTCCAATTTGAACGTTTTATCTTAGAATTCACATTTTTGTATTTGTATTTTTGCAGTCAAAAAAAGAAAACTTGGTTGTGGCATATGTCCTGATGATGAAGAATTTCCACACCCAAGTACTGGATTTATTGCTGGTCATTTGCACACTCAAGTACTGGATTTATTGCTGGTCATTTTACATATGTTGAAATTTAACCAGTGAGGGAATATTAGCTATATTAGAATTATCATCCTATGTAGAAACTGAATAGTTATTATTCTGCTATGATTGACTGTCACATGTAGTATCCAACCATCCATCATCACCAACTTTGAAGCTAAAGACATGGAAGTGCTTCACTTTTGCGAAGCAATGAGTTAGGGAAAGATAATTCATTTATTTATTGATTTTTTTTTTTGGGGTAGTGTTACAAATTTTTTTCAATGATAATCTATTCTCATATATATATATATAAAAAGAAGGGGGTGGCCTTGCCTACCTTACACGTGTCCAGCTTAATGTGTTAAGTTTAACTTCGAAATGACGTCGTTCTACTTTAACTTTGAAATGACGTCGTTTATTAAAATAAAATGACAACAAGATGTCTCAAGAAGTTTATCATTTCTTTTCCAAAACCTAAAGCAACCTAACATCCAGATTTTTGTTATGTTAACCACATCGTGATGGGGATTCTCGAGAGAGCTGCTGAAAGTTACAAAGGGTAATGGTGTTACCTCATGCATTTGAAATTTAACAATATATTCGAAATCAGTTGATTTTGTTTGGGAGTTTCATTCATATTCATGCTATTGTAGATCTTCTACTGAGTAATTTCATCATTCATTTGATATTGGGATCGAATCCATAATTGACGGCTTCAAGTTGCATACAAAGTGAACCTAGATATTGTGTAAGGTCATCATGTTTTCATTTTCCAGTGGAAAATTGTTTGGAGTGCCATGATTTTTGCATAGTGAGATCATAATAAACTCAAAGGCTGCTACGATTGGATCATATGTGCTGGAAAATCTTAATTTTTACTGGTTTTGATGAATAATTTTGTACAGTGTTGAATTACTGCTGATCTGTTCGCCTTTTATGTGTTCAATCGCAAAATTTCTCGCACGATTTTTGTTTACTGTTGGCAGCAGGTACTCTACATTGACATTGATGTTCACCACTGGTTACTTGATACATTTCAATAGTATTTTGCATCTTTCCAGGTTGCCAGTCGCACAGTAGTTTTGTAAGACCAGAGTAAAAGATTTAGGTATGAAGTTTTGTAACACGTCTGATACAAATTTGACTTAGGTATGAAGTTTTGTAACACGTCTGATACAAATTTGACTCTGTACTATTTATAATGCATAAAAACTTTATCTTTGCTCAAGAACAATAGAGTTGACCATACAATGATATGATAATTCAGGCATATAATGATGCACATGATAATTGGTTGATCACATGATAATTGGATCAGTTACACACACCATTAGCTCATGCTTATATAATTGAAAGTTCGATATGTTCGCGCAAGCTCGTGTTAGGATTTAAAAACAATTTTTAAATATGTTTTGTAATCGAATTGGCTTTATGATCAGTGATTCGAAAATTCAATTAGACGACAATGCTGTGATTGTGCATTTTGTTTTCAATTTTATAGTGGAGCCAACAATTTAGTAGATGAATTGATTTATCTTGGGAAATCAAAATGTGAATAGTTAATTAAGTCTTGATCCAGTGAAAAGCAGAAGTTGCTGAGTCTTCTCTATCTTAATTCGAATGAATCTTGGACCATTTGAGTCCCGAAAATCGTAATGCATGAAAAATCGAGATTCTGATGAAAATTAGCAACATTGGTGGTAGATAAGTATGATCATATTACAACTAAATGAAAGTCCCACATTCTTTATTTAGAATGAATTAGACGATGTACACGAGCATTTGACAAAGTTTCGCAGCTTTTTTCGCGTGAAATCGTGTTGATTCGCTTTCTAGGGAAGCAAAATGTGGCCGTACAGCTGGCCCGAGGCGTGACCGAAAGGGAACTGGGCAAAGTTCGGCAGCTTTTTTTTGCATGAACTCGGATTGGCTGATGTGGCGAGGGACTGTGGATGCGGGGCCCACGGTGGGGTTGGAGGAGACTTTCTCCAACTCGAGCCTGCTTCAGTTGATATCCATGTCGCCTGCATTAGAGATGGAAAAGAAACAAGCAGACTCATGAATGGTACTTACTACAGTTACTTTGATTATTGATAAAACAAGCAGACTCTGGTCCAAATCAATTTATGCATTGTTAAAAGCCTGAGTCACAAAATTGTTTCATATAAAGATTTAATACTGTATATTTAGTAAATATATGTTAGTTCCATATAATGTAAAATTATAATCAACATCAGAAAAACTTAAATCAACATCAGAATTCAAGCTCCAGTAATTCTAATAATATTTCTTTGAATGAGAAATAATAAGATGGGCAAGAATGAGATAAGGTCATTCCTTCAAAATGTTGATAATTGTCTAAACGTGTGTAGTGGAAAAACACTAGCATGACCAATGGGTCCAATGCATACATAAGATTAGTGTGGTTCACGGGTCAAGGTCTTTCTTTTTTTCTTTATATATATTTTTTTTTTAAGTCCAGGTTGTCTTATATAGCTCACCATTTTTATTTATTTTTTCTTTAATATTTCTTTGAATTGGAGATAACTGAACCATAAAATGGGCAAGAATATGTTAAGCTCATTCCTTCTATATATATGTAGATTGCATGGACAATCAAGACCCAACTCTTCCAATATCATACCATCATCACTACATATTCGCAGTAATGAATATGAATGAATCAAAACACTCTATCCTTGCATCTATGTTTTCTGTCCTCCTTTTCTTTTCCGTGAGACCACTCTATTCAATCTCTTGCCCTGAAACTGAAACACAATCACTTTTAAGCTTCAAGCAATCTCTACAGGACCCCTTTAAGTTGTTGTCTTCTTGGGATTCCAAAGTTGATTGTTGCTTGTGGAAATGTGTTGTCTGCAGCAACATAACTGGCCATGTTCTTGATCTTCAAGATAACAGTTTAGGTGGGAAATTAAGCTCATCTTTGCTCGACTTGAAGCATTTGAAATATCTTGACCTGAGTTATAACAACTTTCATGAAAAGATACCTTCTTTCACTGGATCACTCACAAGCCTCGTGTACTTGGATCTATCATTCGCTGGATTTCATGGAAAGATTCCCCACAATATTGGAAATCTTTCAAATTTGCGCGGTCTAAGTTTGGGTACTTCAGAACAAGATAGTCTTGAATGGTTGTCAGGACTTCCTAAACTAAAGCACCTCAACATGGATGGTGTGAACCTCAGCAAAGCAATCAACTGGGCACAACAGGTGATCAACAAACTTCCTTCTTTAGTCGAGCTGCATTTTATAGATTTGTAATCTTAATTTGATGGCTCCTCTGAATGATGTTAAAATCAGCCGTTCTGATTTAGCCACTCTTGATCTCTCCTGGAATTCCCTGCCTTATGCCATCATCCCTCCGTGGATTTTTCAACTCACCAACCTTATCTATCTTGATATGTTTTTCAACTCATTCCACGGTCGAATTCCAACAATGAGCAACACCACAAAACTCCAACACATTGATCTCTCCTCAAACAATTTGAATTCAAGCATTCCACAGTGGCTCTACTCCTGCAAACACCTCCAGTTCCTCGATTTAAGTCAAAATGAACTTTCTGGAAAAATACCAAGAGATATTGCAAACCTGTGCAATATACAGACCTTAAATTTATGGGGTAATAATTTGGGAGGAGAGATATGGGATTCATTTGGAAACATGTCGGATTGTTTCTTAGGATCTTTGATATCTTTAGATTTGTCAGGCAATCAAATCTCCGGTCATCTGCCTCATCAATTTGGAGAATTTAGGAGTCTCCAAACCCTTGATCTTAGTAACAACTCATTGTCCAGTGTAATTCCAGAAATAGGGAACTTGCTTTTCCTTGAAGGGTTATTCTTGGGTGATAATAAATTGATGGGGAACTTACCAGAGAGTATTGGGAAACTTGTGAACTTGAGAGATCTTTCCATATACAATAACATGTTGGAAGGGGTTGTGACTGAAAACCCACTTTGCCAATCTCTCAAATTTAAAATCCTTGCGAGCCTTTGGAAACCACTTGAGTTTGAAAGTCAACCCCAATTGGATTCCACCATTCAAACTAGAGACGCTTCGTCTACGGTCTTGGGACATGGGATCTCGAATCCCGTTATGGCTTGAGACTCAGAAAGAGAGTATCTTCCAACTTGATTTATCGTGTACTGGAATCTATGGAAACATTCCCAGCTGGTTATGGAGTTTGAGTTTGGGATATCTCAACCTTTCGCATAACCAACTCGACGGAAATATTTTATCCATTGGTGATCGTGGACGTTATTATAATTTTTCCTCATTTTTTGGCTTGAGTTCCAACAGGTTTAGTGGTCCGCTGCCTCAAGTAATGGCGAGTCCATTATTCTTGGAACTAGATCTCTCCAATAACTCATTCTCGGGAGGTTTGTCAGAATTTCTCTGCAGCACATCAACCAATAAGGGATTGCAAATTCTTAATCTCGCGGAAAACCACCTGTCTGGTGAGTTACCCGATTGTTTCGTGAAATGGCAATCCTTGAGAGCATTGAACTTAGGCAACAATGAATTATCTGGAAGAATACCGGATTCCATAGGATTTCTAACAGTTTTAGAGTCCTTGAATCTATACGGCAACAATTTCTCTGGCCACGTACCTCTTCACTGCAAAACTGCACAGAACTAATTAAGATCGACTTCTCTCATAACAGTCTTGGTGGGGACATACCAAAATGGATTAACACAAGATTTAATCAGCTGACAATTCTCATTTTGCGCTCAAACAATTTCAGTGGAGAAATCACCCCATCCATATGCCAGCTCAGATGACAATTCTCATTTTGCGCTCAAACAATTTCACAAGTTATGGGACAATGTTTATGTGTATTTTGTTATCAAGTGGAGAAGGCTTACAAGAGTGTTGGAGTGAAATTTGTGAAGGCTCTGCCAACAAAGTTTGTGAAGGCATTCTGATGTCTTTAGTATTAAGGTGTTGGATTTATTATGTATGTATATTTGTTTCTTGTTGTGTGAGTTTTTAGAAATTGGGTCTGAATCCTTTATTATTATTATTATTATTATTATTATTATTATTATTATTATCAAAATTATCATCATCATCATCATCATCATCATATATGGCTTTTGCTTGCTTGATGAAATCAGTGATGGCAATATATATGGATTCATGACTTATTTATAGATTATGTGCAAACAAGCAAGCACGTGATAAAGGCTTGT